CAGCTGGCTCCGCACCCGCCGCTTTAGCGAGCCTACTCTTCGACCCTCCGGAGCCACAAATCATTGGAAAAACACAGTGTTTCGCGACTTTCCTACCTTTTCGCGCACCTGGATCTTCTTTCTTCTCAGACTTTCTCTTTTTTGATCTTCTTTCTTCTTGTCTTCTCTTCTCTGACTCTTCCCACCTCTGCTTTTTATTTGTCCATATTGTCGGAAGTTTGACTTCTAAACTTCCTTCGACAAGAAATGATCGTATCAGATCTCGCTTTTACAATCTACGATTTGGGTCAACATGGGGGCCCCAGGCCTCCACGTCAGTTGTGACACACATCAGCTCTGAGCGTGCAGGCTGCGAAGACCAACTCCATGCCGCTGGGAACCACCAAGGACCTTGACATGTCATAGTTCGATGCCCTGTCAAAATTAATCTGTGAAGACATAGAAGTTACTGGTTGTAATCTTTCTACCAGATACTAATTTAATGATACTATATGATCTATTTTGTCATTATTTTGTTCATGATCTAAGGCCTTATCTAAGTGCTTGGGGTTCCTTTAAACAACGACATGTCCTCAGATCGTGTTGAGACGGAAAGAAAGTGACCTCTCAAAGGTGCGGCCGCATCATCTCTGTGTCTCGGATGCCGGACGGGCAAAGCCAATAATTCCTGCAGTCCCTGCAGCTGCAATTTCCAGAAAGATCAGATCTGAAAATTGTGGAGCCTCAACAGCCTCAACATTCACCAAATTCACCGATGGTCTCTAAGCCTGGGCCTTTGGGGACTAGTCCTTCTGAACCTAGGACTGAAGCCACTGGAGTCCCAACTTGTAACGTGCTAACATCACAGATGCCGTGGCGGTTGAGCTGCGGCAAATCAGATCCCATCTGCTCCAACACATTGTTGATGAGTAAAATATCGTATAAAATGATGTATATACCATTGGCCATTCAGATCCAAAGTCGATGCATGTCTTTCTTGTCATGTGTATATAATCATGTTTGGTCGGTTCACTTGTAAACCATCTTGTTTTCACCAACGCCTAGGGGCTTCGCCAAAAGATTCCCAATCCCTAGACGCCTGTAGGACGGACTTCCACAGGGTGATGTCAACAGGGATGGTGTATGACCTTGCCACAGTTGCCCTGTGACAGCACAACCAGCATTTTCTGGACAGGATGGTATTTGCTAGATTTACGATGGCATATTCAAAGACACTGACCTCACCTGGCCCTATATCCCATGATTTTGGATTGCATCTTTGCAAAATCCAACATTGGGGTGGTTGGCACTGACCTTCCGGTTGCTTAAGAGTACGATTTTCATATGAGTCCCACTACGTACGACTATCCTCCGCTGTGACACTGGGCTTTCGACCCGGTGCCGGAGCCGTACGGACACTTCGTCGAAGAGGCTCCGTTTGTGCCTGGCTTCCCAATGTACACAGGTGCAAATTGTCAGCCAAGACCGTTGGCCGAAACCATGGTGGATACATGTGGATACTTTCAAGCTTTCTGAGCCCAAATATGTGAAAGTCAGAATAAAACAATGTTAAGATCAGGTCTCTTTGTTCTTGTAAGTCTTTCCGCACTCGACGTTGCCTAGGTGTGCCCCATGTAGCATCTCCCAGAAGTGGAATCTGACCATGAACCATCAGCCCGCCTCACGGCGCTGCGAGGGTGAGCGCCTTGGATCAGCGAGCGATCAGGTCAGCAAAAAGTGGGGTGAGTCTACTGTAATCAATTGTAATCAGAATGAATGAATTCCAGATTTTTCAGCTGGATATATCAAGAAACTTGAAGAGTTTCGGGCGGCTGCTCGAAAAAATTGAAATGAAACCAGCCTAACACATGGTTTAAACTCTTGCCCGCTGACACATGACATTGAGGCATGTGCTCCCAGCGCAAGTAGACAGCAATGCAAACTGACAGTACCTTTAAGCATTCTTGAGCAAGTTCGGATGTGGCCGAGCAATCCCAAACTGGCAATGAATAATAGAAATGACAGTCACATTCTGAAAACCCGTGATTCACATAACGGCCCATGGTTCACACATATTCACATGATGCCACATGGATACTTCCTGTTGACTTCCTGACTATTTCCGCAAAGTGTCAGGTGCAGCTGCAGGGCACCATGGTACACACCACAAAAATGATAAGGAAATGAATCGGACTTGGCCTCGGCAACGCCACAGGATTGCAGTGACATTTCCCACTCAAAGTCTTCCCCGACTTTTTGAGAGGTCTAAGACACGCACTGGGAACTTCTGCCCAAGGTGATCAGTGCTGCAGTGGTATTGAAGGATATGGCCTCATGGCATGGGCAGGAAAGTCTTCTGCTTCGTCGAAGAAAGCTGCAAAGCAATCATGTTCAAAGCTGGGTCCCCATCCATGACTGTCCGGGAGGTGCGCGAAAAATTGAAATGACCTGGGCAACATCTTCCCTGAATGTAGCTGGCTACGCCTAAAAGACACCTGCCAGTGCGTAGATCTATGGAGTTATGAATTCAACAGGCATCAATCGGCCTTTCCAATATGTCGCACATGTCACATATCGCTTGAATACGTACAAACAGGTGGTAGTCAACATCATAAAAAATTATTAAAAAAATGTTTTTGTGTCATGGTTGGCATTAACCTTCCAGAGCTACAGGCGCCGCACCTGGCATGAAAAGATGATGTGTCCAGTTGGGAGCATGACGCAGGATGTCCTGACGCTCCGTCAGCCAAGGACATGGATTTTGTGGTCCCAGAAACACCAACCAGTCCCACCAGTCTCACTATAGTCACGGGTCCTGGAAAACACCCCTTCGAGCGTCATCCTGGGCTGACAAAAGAAACAGTGCGAAGCACCCAACAGTGAAATTTCACACCTGAAGTACCTGAAGTGTTTTAGAGCCAGAAAGTTGTCAATGTCGTCATGGCCGAGGTGCATTTGTGGCATTGAGCAACTCTCCCAGTCTGGTTTCGTTGCCTGCCCATCTCCAATACGAACAGGAAACTCAAAGAGCATCCACGAACTGTAAAGCAGTCGTGGAGTCATGTTCATGGTTTCATAACTCCCATACAACCGATGGTATCGAGACTAAAATATGGTTCCAATGTCATGTGAGTGCTGGTTTTCTGGCCAACCAACCTGGCCTATGCCAGATACGGTTCGGTTTGCTAAAGCAGCTCGGCGCTGCACCAAAAGAGGTGGTACTGAACCTTGTCAGGATCGCCCATAATGTGGCGCGCATGTCGGTGGTGGCAGGTTCAAATGCACTAACTTTACTGAGTTTTTCCTGCATCAGTGGACATAGCTGCGTCTGCCACATTACTTTTATTTACAGTACATAAGTTTCCGCGTATATTATATAATACGAATATTGTATGCAGCATATCCTTTTTTTCTATACCAGAGTCTGCCAGCTGAAGGTTGAGGGATCAGCAAATCGCAGAGCTTATACAATGCTTTTTGGCACTTCTTGTATGGACGTCTCGGCCTGCCAACATGTAACATGCTGTAACATGCGCACCAGCCCACTCAGCTATGGAAACTACGTATGGAAAATAAGGAAAAATAAAGAAAAATGAAGGAAAAATGAAGGATAATAATGGAACATATATCATATACCATAAAACTACATGAAATCAGGAGTGATGAAAGGAAAATCGGATGGCCTGCGTCTGTGGCACTGACTGGGATGGCCAATGTTCCACATGCCCTGGCAGGTTTCAGGCTGCAGCTGGTAACCCCCTCCCTAAACAGGCCGGGCCAACAGCATCAGGGGACAACATCGAAGCGTCCAAAAAAAGAGCAGCAGACCGCGGATGGCCACGCGGGCCCCGCGGTCAACGAAGGCCTTGATACTCGGGTCATCTGGAATCATTGCAGTCTGCAGAACTGGAGATTCAGAGGTCATTTGAGATGTTGAAACATCCCACATGTGGTCTGACATATCAAGTTTTGACACGAACGCATGGTTCAAATGTCGCGTGTTCCAATGGATGAGGAGCAGACAAGCTCGGTCATGCATCCTCCTGCAGGGTTGTCTGTGGAGAAACATTCCAGAAGCTCAATGTTCCCAGGCATTGCTCTCTGGGCATCTCAAATCACGACATCAAATTCAACTGCACTGAAAGAAAGAGATGAAAAGACTCCGTCCTCGACTGTGCGTGTGCACATCGATGACGCATCCGCAGCCCAACAAGCTTGAGTGGAAAGGATTATATAATGTTATTTATATACATGTTGTCGGTACCCGCATCACTTAGGGCAACACCAAACGCCACTTCAGGCAACATCCAGAAATCACAAGTTGCACGCTCACTTTTGGGCAACACGGAAAACAGCACTTTGGGCAACACGGAAAACATCATTCTTCTTATCTAATTACTCAGCCATTTATGCTTTGGTTGGGCGGGTGGGGAGGGATCATTCTTCTTATAGAATTACTTGGCTCAGCCATTTAGGGTTTGGTTGGGGGGTGGGGAAGCTACTTACATCATTACTTGACTCAGCCATTTAGGGTTTGGTTGAGAGAGTGGGGAGGGATCATTCTTCTTATCTAATTACTTGACTCAGCCATTTAAGGTTTGGTTGGGGGGTGGGGAGGGATCATTCTTCTTATAGTAATTTGACTCAGCCATTTAGGGTTTGGCTGGGGGGTGGGGAGGGATCATTCTTCTTATATAGTAATTTTGGTTGGGGGGTGGGGAGGGATCATTCTTCTTATCTAATTACTTGACTCAGCCATTTAGGTTTGGTTTGGTTGGGGGGAGGGATCATTCTTCTTATATAGTAATTTTGGTTGGGGGGTGGGGAGGGATCATTCTTCTTATCTAATTACTTGACTCAGCCATTTAGGGTTTGGTTGGGGGGATGATGGTGATGAGGAGGAGGAGGAGGATGATGATGAGGATGAGGATGAGGATGAGGATGAGGTATCCCGAAGCGATGCATGAGGCGTAGCCCGAAGCGATGCACTCGACGTATCCCGAAGCGAGAGCCTTACCTGTTGTCAATGTAGAAAGCAGTTGTGACGATGACACCCAGTGAAACGTCTGCTCCTTGCCCACAGAGGGATTGTTACTAATTACTCATACGTATGTTTTGCATCGAGTATAAAGACTCAAGGTCAGTCTCAAGGGCTGCATTTTCATCATGCAACATCTAAATATTTCACGGATGAGTAAAGGTGGCTTGGTTGGGATGGCCGCACTTGAACAAGAAATTGTCTCTATGTTATACGTACCCGTACCCCACCCAAATAATCTGTCCGGGATTGGCATGTTGCTCTTTAATCATTAAACCATCATTGAACACAGCGATTCTCGTGGTTTTGGGGTGTGAAATGCCCAAGCTCCACGGCTGTTTCCAGAGCAGCACACGTTGCACGCCACTCAGCTGAGGGCAGAGAAGACCTCCGTGCCATGGATCCTGTCACAGAAGCCACTGGGTATCCCCCATTTTCAGCCATCTTTATAGGGAAAATATGGGAAAATGATGGAAAATGAGAAGAATCCCGTGGATTTTAGGTGGTGCCCTAGGAAAAACGACACTCCAACAGGTTCGATTCTTTTCGGCTTGTCCAAATAATGTGGACCCCCAACTCAACACCTTGGAGCGACCCACCGAGCCCAAAACGTCGCTCGATGCCATGATGAGCGAGTCTGCCCGCCTGGTCAGAATTTGTACCACCACCATCACAGAGAGCATTCCAATGCTGCCTGGCATTTCAGCAACTGGGACTTCAGACTTTATAACTTTACAATACCATCTGATTATTCAATATGGCTATGGAAAATGACAATTTTAATAGGTACATAATCTACAAACTGGAACTGTCCATGGCCATGTTAAGTTACCAGAGGGTAATGTCTTACCCTCAGGCTGCAAGCTGGAAGCTAGCACTGCCATCGCACAACAGACGCTTCGGGGAATTGTTAAGGGAGCGACATGTCCTTTGGGGAAGGCCAAGGAGCCTATCAAAACACATCTCCAAATCTAAGTCTGTATACATAAAATTACATAAATATGATTTTGCTGTAAAAAACACGCGTATGATACGTAATGAGATATGATGTGCAAGGGATATGTTCCCAAAACCACAGAATGTGACAACAACCTTTGGCACCTCCTGAGATGAGGGTCCCTGCTGCCGTGACTCCATAGAGGATGGAGATCAGCTTAGTCAAACCTGGCATTCTCCGGCGAGGTGTCCTGGGACATCCTGGGTCACTTGATCATACTTGGATATACTGGGTGTAGGTATACGGATGTATACGGTATAGCGGTATACCAATAGACCACAAAAGGCTGACGTACCCATGCCCACCATGGGTCATTGGATGGTTTTGCACCAAGAATCTCTGGTCAATCCGTGGGACTGTGCGTCGAAATCTTGACCCATTGCCCTTTAATCCAGGATACACAGGGATATACATGGATGTTATATGATGTTATGCAGTTGGTGTCAGAGTTGGAACCTGGTGGTCAAAAAGTCCTAATTGGTTGGTCGAAAAACAACAACTGCAATTGGTCAGCACCAGCCTTCAGGATTCTGGCTGCTTCCCAGCAACTTGGTCACCTCCAGGGAAGTCACTGGGGTCCATTGCTTGTGGAATCTGGGGGTGCAAAACAAGCACCAACCTCAGACATAAATATCTGGTTGGTGGTTGCACACCCTTGAAACACTATCCTTGGTGATCATCCTCCCAAAGAAGTCCTTCGGATCCAAATCCGTTCGCGTATTTTCTCAACTCAAGCTGTTTCCCGTCTTCAAACATACCTCCTGGCACATTCAAACCGTCACGTTTTCATGAAATCTGGCTACTGAGCCCAAAAAAAACCATCTGCGCCTGCGGCCACGCCAGCGCCAGCGCCACCGGCGAGGTCAAGGTGGACAGCACCGCGGTGGCTGAGAGCAGAGTACTGGACCTGGGGAAAGGGCCGAGCTGTCGGAGGCAGATCCAAAAATTCCATGAATTGTCATGAATTCCAATGGGAGTTGGGAAATTATATTCTGAATATGAGTTCTAAATGGTCCAGTACTGTATCATACTGTATCTAAGATTGCGATATGAAATTATATCCTTCTACTGGTATTTATCCTTGATTAACCCAACACGATGGAGTTGAGAACATCTGGATTATCAGGGCTAAGCAAGGTATCAACATAGGTCGGTGCAGGATTGTGAAGCCGGAACGCAGGTCCTTAAAAGCGCAAAACTCTTGCAAATATATGCAATTATTATGCAACTTGATACCTTGAATCCCGAGTTCAATCATCATCCATTGTGGAACATTACCAGGATGAGAAGTCCGAGTAAGTTCTCATCCACACCAGCATGGCCTGAGGTGCCGGAGACCCAGCCAAAGCAGGCCAAGCAAGATGGGTAACAAGATCCTCAGAAGGGATGAAAAAAAAATCTCAAAAATCTGAAGCGACCTGGATATACCTGGATAGTATGACCTGGAGGGAAATATGACATTGTGAATGTTGATCTTTAATCCATACCGCCAGATTGTGATGGAAGTCAAAACCCTTTGCATATGTCGAAACGTCAATCAGTTTTGGATCTTTTGGTAGTTCAGTCGTTCAGGATCTGAGACTGCTTCGCTGCAACATGGCTATCCACCAGCTTGTGCCAGTCTCCGCGAACCAGCCCAACATCCTGGCGGTCAGCTCTGCAAAGGAACACTGCCACTTCCTAACTAATCGTAGCCCGGTTGATGCAGCTGGGCCTTGGCTAAACTCCCAGAGGCGACCTCAGCAACACTTAAATGCCACCAAGCTTGGCAGCTGGCTTGCTGGGTAAACTATGCTAAACTCATATCCCGAGATTTTGGACACGCTTCTCGATCACCAGTGGTTTACATCCCTGCTTTCGCTTATCAAATCCCTATGTATGTCCCATGGTTGCTGCGTAGTCGTTGCTGCTATTTCTTTCGTCATCACCGTTCCAACCGTCTGGCTGTCTTTGAGGACAAACACATCAAATTGAGCTTCAGACATCACCTGAAATCTTTGTCAGGAGTGATGCAGCCTGAAATTGCTCTGGAGTTTATGCACGCCGATTCACAGCGCTTCACCAACCAGCAATTCCCAGCCCTGCCTGAAAAACGGCAAAGGCCGCGGGAGTGTCATCCTCAGAGGGTAGCTTATGAGATGTGAGTCGTATGCATGATCATGGAGCCCTAACCAACAATCACACACACAGCTCTTCTTCGATCTTTGAAGAAACAAATTCCCGGAAATCAACTAGAAATTAACGGCGACCCTTCCCAAACCGTCCCAAATCTGCATCTGCGTTTTCTCTCACTACCTACAACTTCGGTACCAAGCTTATATTCGCCCACAACAACAGTTCCAACGGATCAGATGTTCTTCGGTCGCAAAGTAACCAATCTCAATAATCTCAATGGATTGTTTAGAAGGAACATCTATATCTCCAGGGTTTCCTATCGTTTCCTGCAATTGTTTCCCTTCAGCCAATTCTGGGACATTCCCAACCACGATACCAGAACACGATGTTGTTTTCATTGCCATGGCACGTTTGCCAAAACGAGGCCAGCCATCCGCAGCAGCATCTGAAGCGCCTCGCAGAGATCCACGGAAGGAGATCGAAGCACCTTGCTGACACCATTGAAGTGTCCAGCCACCAGAAGCCCTGCAGGCCTGGGATCATGGAAGATGTGGCCAAAAATCAACTGGTGGCCATCATCCGAGTGTGAATGGAAAATGATATATATATATACTTGAAACATCTTGAAACCCACCAACCGGATAGGATAAAGAATTCAAAAGATGTCTCCACTGCTTTGATAATCCACTAGTCGCTGGATGAAAACTTTAGACAACATTTATATAGATAATATAGACCCAAGGCTATTGAGTCAAGTGGCGCCAAACAACCTAGGATTCGTGCAAGGTCAGAAGCCTCTCCAGGTTTGCAAGTTTCATGTAATTCAGCTGTTACTTTCCAAACATGAAGTCATTCATGCCGCAGAAAATGCTGGAGCAATCGGTTTCGATTTCGCAGCATCTCAATTCTCAGAGTTTCCTGGCATCCCTTCCTGCCTTGCCACTGCCTTTCCTGAGCGTTGCCGTGCCCATAGTCACCACGCCCGTCAGCAAGGCACCAAACAGCACACCTGCCATTCTTGGAACTCCTTGGGGGTATGGGTCAAGAATTGGATCCAAAAAATCAACAAAAATCGTCGAACCCTCAGAAAAGCCATGCCCAGGCGCACAAATCATCACAGCACTGTGCACTGTGGCAAAGACCTGGCGCTGCGATCTTGGAAAAACGGCGGTTTCTCTATAAATAGGGGTACCCCAATAATTGGATGGTTTATAATGGACAATCCTGTTAAAATATGTTAAAATGGATAATACGAGGGTACCACCATTGCAGGAAACCTCCAAGTGAACCATTGCTGTTTCACCAATGTCGCCACCTGCTTGGTCTTCAAGACCTCCGACAGCACCGATGCCATCCGGTCCTGCCAGGTCAAATGTTGAAATCACTGTGGATCCAGAAAATTGTTGGTGATTTGACATCACTATTTTGTGATTAAAATGTCAAACATTGTCAAACCATCCATTTTGGCGGAATAATAATTTTCACCCATGACGATGTTCAGGGCCAACATCTGATGTTTCAGCGGTCCAGAATGCCCATCCCAAGGAGCTCAGAGTTCTGACTTTGCAGTTTTTTCATCACCTGCCAGCAGGTCGACTTTTGTGGATGGATTTCCGGTGTGATTTCAGTGAAACAGTTTCCCATAGTGGTTTCAACCCTGAACCAACAACTTTTGGCCCTGATTCTTTCCACGCAAGTTAGTGATCTCTCCAAAAAGAAAACGAACCGTGCAAAACCGCCATCCTGATTTCTTTGCTAAAGTTCTCAATGTTCAGATGGTTCCCCAAGACAAGTCTGCGCAGAGAGAGAGAGAGAAGGAAGAGAGAGAGAGAGAGAGTGAGAGAGAGAGAGAGAGAGAGAGAGAGCGAGAGAAAGAGAGGGAAAAAAACAGAGAGAGAGAGAGAGACAGAGAGAGACACACACACACTTGCTCAGAAATATTTTATCGAATTATTGATGTGGAATGCATCGTACGTGCAAAAATCCAGTTAAACCTGACAGGATTGAGTTAGAGAGTAGACTCGAGTAAGAGTCAAAACGGAACTTCTCCATAGCCCTGGCTGAAAGCAAATTGACTTCCCTGACAGATTGCGAAAACCGTACAGGCATCAAGTTGAAGGTTGGTTTGAAAATGTTGAAAAACGACATGCCGGTTCTTGGCTTAGCCGGTTGCCATTGACGAGAAATTGAAATGGTGTTGCAGGTACGTCACCAGGCGTCCCTGGTGATATCCTAGGATCATATGAGGACCTTCGTTGGATGGAGCCTCATATGTCCTCTCCATCCCCCTGCTCAAAATTGGATTTTGAAATGAAAGTCAAACGAAGTTTGAAATTGACAATTCCTCACAGCGAGAAAATCCCAACACCTAACAAACAACAAAAAGCGACATCATCAGGTAGAAGTTTTGCATCTGTTCAGATGTTTCACACACACGCCCCGCTGCCGCGAGGCATTTAAGGCCCCGACGAATGAGATGAAGGTGACAATGAGAGAATGAAAGTGGAAATGAAATGACGATGAAGATGAGATGACAATTCCTTAACCGGAACACAAGAGGGGGAACGCAAAAAGGAAAGGGAAAAAAAGAAAACACCAACACCAACACACCTAGCCCGAAACGGGCAAACCCTGAAAGGGCAAGGGAAAAGAAAAAGCGGACGGACGACGGCCCAAAAACCAACCGGAGGAGGGGGAGGCGGACAGAAGCGCCTCACACAACCTACAAATCGACACCAAAACCTACCTCGGCACGCGAAGGACCCAAACCTGACCTAGAAAGGGAGCACGCATGAGATAGGGGGCCAATGGGGAACTAGCTGATGAAACATGATGCATCCACATTATCGTGCAGAATTCCCCTTGTTGCAGGCTCAAAGGCCTAAGTGTCACGTCAACCCCATGGACAGCTTACGTCGTCAACCCCTGAATTACGTGCACAATTGAACCTCACCAACGACCAAAAAAGAAGAGTCACCATACCTGCAAGCATGGCCTGTGCCTGGAATCCTCATGTTGCAATTGTCGGCAGCTGGAAATGCTCGAGCAATGTTGAAAAAAGAAGGTTGTCGCGGCTGCAGACTACCAGTGACAGGGAGGCAGATCATCTGAAAGAATTGAAGCCACACGGCGGCCTGCTGTTTCAACACACACTTCACGATCGACAGGTGAAACACTGGAAAAGGCCAACTGTTGCACTTTACTTAGATGAATTGCCAATTCAAAAGTGTCAATTCAGAGATCGTTTCAACGTGTCAATTTTTAGCCTGGAGAGGCTTTCCCCGAGGGGTTCATGCCACCTTGACGAATCCAGCATGAATCACACACTTGCTCAGAAATATCTTATCGAATTATTGATGTGGAATGCATCGTACGTGCAAAAACACTCCAGTTAAACCTGACAGGATTGAGTTAGAGAGTAGACTCGAGTAAGAGTCAAAACGGAACTTCTCCATAGCCCTGGTTGAAAGCAAATTGACGTCCCTGACAGATTGCGAAAACCGTACAGGCATCAAGTTGAAGGTTGGTTTGAAAATGTTGAAAAACGACATGCCGGTTCTTGGCTTAGCTGGTTGCCATTGACGAGAAATTGAAATGGTGTTGCAGGTACGTCACCAGGCGTCCCTGGTGGTATCCTAGGATCACACGAGGAGCTTCGTTGGATGGAGCCTCATATGTCCTCTCCATCCCCCAGCTCAAAATTGGATTTTGAAATGAAAGTCAAACGAAGTTTGAAATTGACAATTCCTCACAGCGAGAAAATCTCAACACCTAACAAGCAACAAAAAGCGACATCATCAGGTAGAAGTTTTGCATCTGTTCAGATGTTTCACACACTAGACAAGAATGGATCATTATATGATCCGGCAGGAACTGAATCCTGAAACATGCAAACCAGCCTAGATTATTTGATGAATAAAAGAGCCACATGAGGTACTTCTCGAAAACGATGTAGGGCATCCGAAATTGTCAAACGTAGTCATAACCAGATTCCATAGAGTTTTGACCAGCATGTTGAAATCCAAAATAATGTTTCGGCGATTGTTTCCCAAAATAACCCATAGTTCGTCGGCGACAGAATCTCGGCGAAAATAAGTCAAAAAACATAATACTGTCGGCGAAATGGTTTCGGCGAAAATCTGAGGAAGGTTCTGATGCATGTAAATTTCAAAATTGATTCCAGATTGCGACAACAGTGCAGCAAATTGTATAATATTGTGGTTGGGGTTCTAAGCTTGGCCCCTTGCTATTTCGGAAAATTCGAGCTGCAGGTACGCATGGCTGATCAGGCCATGTATCACCAGGGAAGCCAGAGTGTCTTCGTTGGTGGTAGACTCTGGACCCTGCTACCACCCCCTGCAAATTAGTGAAAACCAATCAGAAGTTTTACATCTGTTCAGATGATACACACACACACCTCGCATGTAGCGAGGTCGGTTTTTTGGAAGAACTTCGCTGGCGGAATCGGCAAGACACCAGTGAAAGTGAACCTGTAATAACCTAATGTACAAACGGGCGGTCACTTCAGTCAGAAGAGGAATTCGGAGCTTGTAGAAGGACTTCCATAGCATCGTGGAAGCTCATGCGTTCAACCATCGCCCAAGTCTGATCGAATTCCCCCGATGCCGTAGCAGCCTTCAAGGTGTCAGATAGATCTTTGGCTAATTCATAGATCCGGGTGGTCAGCCTGGGTTCATCTCCAGGAGATGTCGTCTCAATGGGCACATTGTGAAAAGGATGGTGTCCATGTACAAGGGGAATCTCAAAATGATGTCGCCAATAGTCCGCTGTGCGCAAGGACCACTCCCAGTTTCCGGAGAGACCATAGAAATAGTGTTCAGGGTCACGACATCGGGAATGCCCTAACAAAGGAATTTCTTCAATGAATAGCTCCCTGGTGTTGTTGGGGTGGGTAATGACCTTGAATTGGATCTGGTGAACCACGCGAGAAGAGAATTGAGCACGATGGAGGTAGTTGTGTGTAGAACTTGACTCCGTCGGAAATGGAACGCCAGGAGGTGCTGGTCCTGAATATGTATCAGAATGAGCCAGGGTACCCGTAGCAGGTGCCGTACTGTCAGTTACCAAAGGTGCCGGAGTAGGGTTGGTCGTAGTGTCGGGAGCTCCTGAGTGACATAGTGCAGAAGTCGAGGCGTCTGGTACTTGAACTGGGTCGGTAGGAGCGAGTCCACGAGTAGGGTTCGAAGGCCAAGACAAGCCCGCCACGGTCGCGTCTCGTTTGTGTTCCATGGGTGAAACTGTCACAAATACGAGAAATAGTGCAACAACGGCTGAAGCATCAAGAATTGCAGAAGAAAGCCAATCACGAAATTGATAATATTCATAAAAATGATAAAAGTGAAATCCAGTCCTCAATCAAGTGGGTCAATTGCGACGGAGAAGCCACAGCTCCAGGTCAAATAAAATAGAAATCGAAAAATCCTTTGTGTTAGTGGGGTGTCAAGGAGGAATTGAAAACCCTGTAGCATGGTCTTTTTTGGCCGGCTAGCGCATCAGGGCAGGATCACACCGGAGCTAATCTTGTAGCATTGCAAGCGTAGTACGAAAGGCTGTCTGGTACCCGGGATGAGGAAAGAGGATTCGCGGGAATTGTACTGCCGAAGTCGCCACTCAGGTCGGTATGCCTCCAAAAGCTGCAAGACCGTCATATCATTGGAAACTTGGAATGTATCACCGTCCAAGTCGCAAAAGCGAAACTCCAGGTTCGAGGGGTCAATTTGGATGTCCCATTGGGACCTCAATCTTTTGGAGATACAAAAGCGGAGTTCGGCAATTGGGATGAGGCCGGCTTCAACTGGTTCCATCTGACGTGACCAGGTAAACAAAGCTGCAAGCTCAAAGCCACTGACATGTCTAAAATTGGAGTTCACCAGAGCCATGTAGTGTTCACGGTCAGGTTCGCTTCGGTGAGTCAATGCCTGTAAGGGAGAGAAGTCAACCAAGATAAGGACAGGTCTGTTTGGAGGAGGGTTCGCATCACCAGGGAGGCCTCGATGTCCAGCAATCCACCCAACGGTTCGTGTACCAAGCGGTGTCTCAATCGTGGATGTAGCGCGATATGGATTGGGTCGAGAAGAACGAGCCATTGCGTCGAATGTGAAGTATCGAGGATAAAGCGAAAAGCCCAAGCTGCAAAATGGGTTGGAATAGCCACAGAAACAAGCTCAAAGTGTTAGAAATGAAAGAGAAACGGTGTACCTAGTAGGTGGTCACACAAAGAGACGATGAATCACAGGTCTTTTTTCCGCCGACAAATAATGTGGTATATTACACACTTGAATCCGACATATCCATCGCGTCAATATCGTTCGCATCCAACGGACCATGTACTTGTTGAGGAGGGACAGCGGGGCGAGTGAGATATACAGTACGTTGTAGTGTTGCCGGTGGGGAAGACGGTGGTGTAGACCGCCAAGGTGGCCAATATAAAGAGGTAGTGGTTCCTTGAGAATGGTGTTGGGCAGAGCGTCCCCAGCATGACTGTAAAATATGGAGGTGGTCCGGTATCGCTTCGTACGGCTGTGAGACATGGACGTTGGAGTGTTCAGGGTGTGGTA